TAGAACAAAAGGATCATGTTCTGTCTGGGGACGTTTGGAAGAGGAGAGGAAGCCTGGGGAAAAGCACCACAGAAAACGGGGGAAACATGAGGTTTCTGGCCATTTGGAATGAGGGTGAAGAACAGAACGAAGGGGAAGAAGCATCAGAGACATATTTTACCTTCTTATTAAGCCTGTAACAGAGAATCAAATGGTATAAAACATGAAAATGACAAAAATGACCTTGTACATTTAACAGTTTCCAGAACTGCATTTCTTCATTTTAACATGAGGGAATTCAACTTGATAGCTTAGGTATCTTCAAGTCCCAAGTTTCATCAATAAATGTAAACCTTGAAAATCTGATTCTACATTTGTCTTCTTGATTTTAGCTAAACTTCAACTATAAAATGAAATGCATACAACAGTTTAAAAATTGGCAAAATAATTTTAAAATATCATCTAAATTGAACATTAAATTCACCGGACTCGTGATGTTATAACCAGTCTTATAATCAGCCCTATCTGATTTCATTAGCTTCCCTTCCTTAAGCTGCAAGTTACATCCCTAGGCTCATCCATCCATTTGCAAATGCACATCATTGCCAATGAGGGAAAAAATGTAGATGTTTTAGCAAAAATCCCACTTCTGATAGAAAGTGTATTTTTTTGATAACAGCCTGTAAGGAGCACCATTTTATAGAGCAATGAACTGATTCTACAACCCACATATGAACTCAGGCCCATTATGATCAAACTACATATAAAGGAAGTTACATTGTCAAAACAAAATTGCATATACCAAAATGTTACCTAACAAAATTCTAGTCATGCAATGTTATTTGAACCCAAAAGAAATTAAGTTTAGAGCTGCCTAATCTACTAAGTGAAACTCATTTACTGATAAACTAAAGGAATCTTAAACTATATGATGCTTCTTTTTCATAAAGTTACCATCCAAGTGTTTTATTTGCCACCAGCCTTTTTCTTACTTTATTTGTATTTCCTATGTGCATTATTGAGCACTCAGAATTGTAAGTGGCATTGTGCTAGAGAGCACAAAAAGATATATATATCATGCATCAAGTTGGAAACCAAGATAGCCCACTAAAATTACTTCGGGGTGTAAGAAAATGTATATACAGTGCTCTACACTAATAAAATAAATGTGTGCTATATATACCAGCACTCTCTACTATTATAATAAAATGCTAATTTAAAAATGCAATTATAGTATTAGAGAATAATATTCTCTTACTAATGGAAGATACTAATTGTAGAGTGAATATATTAAGTGCAAAAGGAGTTAGAGGAGTATTCTCCAATACTCTGATTGCATTTCATAATTTTTATTTTTTATTTCTTTTTTCCCCCAAAGCCCAGTAGATAGTTGTATGTCATAGCTGCACATCCTTCTAGTTGCTGTACGTGGGACACGGCCTCAGCATGGCCGGAGAAGCGGTACGTCGGTGCGTGCCTGGGATCCGAACCCAGGCCGCCAGCACCGGAGCGCACGCACTTAACCTCTAAGCCATGGGGCCGGCCCAAATATTCTTTTTTTTTTTTTTTTTAACTTTTTTTTTTTTTTTTTTGTGAGGAAGACCAGCCCTGAGCCAACATCTGATGCCAATCCTCCTCTCTTTTTTGCTGAGAAAGACTGGCCCTGGGCTAACATCCATGCCCATCTTCCTCTACTTTATATGGGGCGCTGCCACAGCATGACTTAACAAGCCGTGCGTCAGTGCATGCCCAGGATCCGAACCGGCGAACCCCGGGCTGCCGCAGCAGAGCGCGCTCACTTAACCGCTTGCGCCACTTGGCCGGCCCCTTGATTGCATTTCAAAATTAGCATTTTATTATAATAGTAGAGAGTGCTGATATATATAACACATTTATTTTATTAGTGTAGAGCATTGTATATACATTTTCTTACACCCTGAAGTAATTTTAGTGGGCTGTCTTGGTTTCCAACTTCATGCATGATGATTCCCACCAAGGGAATGGCACCAATGAAGGTTTTACTCAGGAAGTAGGACTCGAGCTTGAGACTGAAACAAGCTACAGATGAGCTAAGAGGGGAAGGACCATATGAACTTTACTAAATGTAAGCATGATGAAATCCTTGAGATGTATTCTATGGATGTAGAGAAAATAAAGATAACAATTGACAGTTATGTAATTTTTAAAAGCTAGAGAATAGAAATCCCACCTGGAAAAAAGGGCCTAAGTGCCAAATGGGGAGAGCAGAAATAAAAACAAGAATAAGTAGACATAGACTGATGCTTAAGAGAATGGCATTTTAAAGTATTTTCATTCTTGTAAATGAATTAATTAACCAGATAATCAGTCAATTTCCTCCTTTTGGCTTCATAGAGTCACAGGACACATCCTAGAGCTCTTAAGGAGAATAGACTTTCTTCAATTGTGCACCCAGACTACTTGTTCACCTAAAATTACCTCTGTAAACCTTGAAAATCTACCTGAGGTTTTTTGGAGAGGTGACAGAGGCTAACCAGTGGTGAGCAGTGCCTAGGAAAGTTAATCTGTTTAGTCATAGCCTAGAGAAGTTCATTGCCCCTCCAGTGACTCACTGAATAAAGCCCTGAAATGTTCTGGTAGAGCCAACACAGTCACCTGCTGCCTGATGACTAATTCAACCGACCAAACCTTATGATGTGGTGGTGCCAAGGGAGCAGTTTCCTTTGAATTCGTATGTGTATATGACCCTGTTGAAAACAGCTTTGCTTTTGTGAGAGTCCTCTCTTCTGCTTCTCCTTGTGGACTAACCCTTCTCAAGATGTACCTCCTCCTGCCAGTCCCTAAGTGGGAGATAGATACTCTCAAAGTTGGTCCTCAGCCTTCTGCTTTCCTCATTCTATTCTCTATTCAAGAAAAACCCTTTGCTGTTAGTCACCTACTCTGTCCTCAGTGAACCATAGCACGTGCTGAAGGGTCAATGAAAAATAAGACAGTGTACCTCCCTTGGAGATCTCATTTATCCTCATGACATCAACTATTACAGCTTTAGAAAACTACTAAATCTCTCCTTTCAGTTCTGCCCTCTTTCCAGAGTGCCAGCTCCATATATCTAACTCCACCACAATGTCCTTCCATTACCTAAAACTAAACATGCCTAAACCTAAACACATCATAATTATCCTCTGACTAGATTTGCCTCCCAACGTCTCTATTTGTCATTGAAACCTGAAGGTTAATCTTGTTCTCGCTCTCTTCACTTTAACCAGTCACCAAGTCCCGTGAAATTTCCTTCACATCTACACGTCTACATCACTTCATATCAAGGCTATTAAAATAATCTCCTAAATGGACTTTTAGTCTCCTCTTTCTCTCTCTCTTCTAACCTATGCCAATTAATTAATCTCCATAAAACAACACACTATATAAGTCATAGGTCCTTTGGCCAGAAGAATGAGATTAAAACTCCCTGGCCTGACATTTAAAGTCCTCCATGATCTATCTCCTGCTTACCTGCCTGTCCAATTTTATTTCCCCAGTGGGAACATGCCCATTGCTCTCCCAGTTGACTAGGTATATTACAGCCTCTATGAATATACTTGTGTTTTTCCTTTATAAATTGCTCCTGCTACCAAGAAGATCCACCCTCCATCTTCTTCCTTTATCTACGTCCTGTTTTTCCTTCTAGCTCCATCCCATATTTTCCATATAGCCTTCTCTGTGTCCCAACCTTTGGTGATTTTCCTTTTCCTTTTTCCTAAATGCTGGCAATAATGAAGCTTATGTTAGCATTCAAGAGTCTTGAAGCACCTATTAATCTAACCATCTTGATATTTAATATAATTATATATAATATAAATATATAAATAAATTATTATATTGTATATATTAATATAACTAAAATACTATAACTATCTTAATAGTTACTTGACCATAAATCCCTAGATTGTGGTCTCTAAAGATGGTAAATATGCAACGTGGTTGCTCCTACTGCTAAGCTATAACTAAGGGCTCAAGCAACTTTAATTATAAAGCCTATTTTTTAGATTGTCATTTACTAAAAGATAGATTAATCTAACATTTTCATATTGGAAACAACAGTATTGATTAATCAATAAATATAAACAAGAAGCTAATTAAGAATCTGGTGCACTCTTACTAATAAGAGTACAATGAAATGGAATCAGATTTATAAAATTATAAAAACCGCTGACAGTTCATTTTAGGTAGAAAGAAAATCTCCTCTCATAACCAAACGGATTCATTGCTTTTTAGTTCTTCAAAGGCACTAAGCTGACTTCAATCTAGTCTTCCTTTAACATATAAACTAGTTCCTAAATATAGTATTATAAATGTTAATAAGGTAATTGACATTGACTGCTCTATACAAAAATCAAAACATGGTTTTATATTTCCTAATAGAAAATACTCATTTTAAAAAACAGGTTTAAAAAAGAAGCTGCTAACCTCCAATAATTTCTGATCAGTCTGATTCTTCACTTCTTCCTCCCTAACAACATCCATCAAAAGCTATGGGAGATAGAAAATGTTCAGATGGTGTGTTTGTGTGTGTTGAAAGGAGAGACTAAGTTGTCTCCATCTTTTGTAATTCCTAACTCCCATCACTCTAGCCTTTTATCTAGGAGTGGTAAATTTAGCCAATTTAAATTTGCCAAAGCTAACGCAGAAGGTATTTGTTTTCTGTAGTCTTCCTCGTGTCCTCCTAATCACCAATCTCACCTCCTTTCCTTGGCGCTCCTTCTCCATCACCCTAATCACCAAAAGCCCAGAAATTAAATAAAACAGTAAACAATTCTCTGAAAGGTACCTTCCTGTTGCTGTCTAAAACAAACGCAATCTTCTGTTTGGGCATTTAAAACACCACAAGCATTCTTCCTTAGATTAAATCATGGGTCTCCCTGGTCTCCAGGCATGCCTAGACATGAACCATAAAGGGAACGAGATCCTTGGAGTTTCTCTAGTAACTGCAGGCCAAATCAACAGCAACCCTAAGAACAAGCATTCTTTTTTTTTTTAAACAGAACTAGGCCACACACATTTTCTCTCGTTACTTTCTTAGTTGTACTACTTAAATAGTTGTATTTTTAAAAAATTTATTTCAGTAGGCAATGCATCTTGATGACTTTTATATACGAATTTTCTTTATTTTTTTACTATCTTTGAAGAAAAGTTTTAAAAATCGCAGTTTTAAGGCATCTACTGCAACCATTGCCTTCGATGGCAACAATCCAGCTCAGGTAAGACATGTAAGATGCAACTAATAATCATAAAACATCAATCAGGAGGAGGTATTAAATATTGTATTCGGTAAAAACGACTAACAATTTAAAAGAACAGAATTGTTTTTGTAACTATATCCTAACCAAGACTTATAAGTCTGCATATTGTTAATGGAATGGAGGCTATTTCACTGCTGATTTATATATATATATATTTATAAAATACAAAAATGGCTCTACAGTTAATCTCTAGAAAGCTCAGAGGTTAATTAGCTCTGATTTCAGCATACTGCATGGTGTGGCTTGGTATATTGTACATGTTAAGGGAGTGTGAGGAATTTATGTAATGTGTTCTACATTATGCCTCTCCCAAAGACATGATGAATACAAATTATAGTTAGTTGTTGTAAATGACCTGTCTTTTGCAATTTAACTTTACAAGTTAAGTTTTACAATTAACGTTTTCTGTACTGTATGTTTTATACTTAACTTGGGTTTCTTACTCTTCAATTGGTGTTCACAGAACAAATGACGCATTTGGCAAAAAATGTGCTGTCTTTCATATTCAAAGACAATGCTGTAACTCATGCAAACTCATCCTTGGGAAGTTCTTCTGGTGTTTTAATAGTGTGAGTTTGGAATTTGTCTTGAATGATCTAGATTGCCTGCCCCTATCTATGTTATTGGTGGCATCTGTGAGACCATTTGCTGGGTTTAGGGAATCAATCCATAGCTGGGAAGTTTTCCTTTGGGGAAAATAATTTAGAACTAAGCTTTCAGGGTCAACAATGATATATATATGCTCTATACTGGGTGCATGAAGACCATATGTTGGAGGGGGGGCTCCTTCCAATTGAGTTCTACAAAGTGTGTAATCAGCGAATATTCTTTATCCTCTCCTGATTCATTCATTGAAGGAAAAGAAGGGAAGGAGTAACTAAAGGAAAGAATTATTAGTAGAAGTCTCCCAGAAATCCTCTGTAACTGTCCTCTTTGCCCAATCTATTCTAAACACACACATAAACACATCTACATCACCAAATGTGAAATTGTAAGAATAAGAAAATGTAACTAGTCACAAGACACTGTTTCTTTGGCCTCCACAGCCCTCACCCTGAATGTCCAAATTTAGTCTTGCTTCAAGGATCTACTCAAGGGTCACCTCCTCCATGAACCTTCCTTGATCAATTACAGTTCTCATTGATGCCCCACCCTACCCCCTTCTATTTCTACCCAATTTAGTACTTTATTTTATACTGTCTTGAATGGTAAATAATGTGTGTTCGCTCTGTGTTAGTACTCAGAATGTACACATGGAGGGTGGAATGAATGACCTTAGGTCCTGAACATATAGCAGGTAGTTAAATAAATATGTGCTAGAAGTAGGAACAGTTTTGCCTACAGCTGACCTTGAGAGTACAAAACTGTGGCCTCAATCTCAAGAGGACCACACTGGGATCTAAGTAACAGCTGGCTGGCTCACTAGACTAGAAGATCCGGCCTTCCACCTCATTCAACGGCCCTCCAAGAGTATAAGGGGAGCCCAAGGGGAACACAGGGTGCAGGTGGGACTCTCCAAGGCAGCCCCTCCTGCATGTCAGAGGCTACCCAGGCGTATCTCCATCTGGAAAATTTGAGCCTACAATTTGGTATCTGGCAAGCTGTTTTCCCTGACGGGGATGGGCATGAAAACTAGGTGGGCCGGTGGGGCTTCTTGGGGAGGGGGAGGGGAGAAGCAGATCTTCGTCCCTCCGGCCATATCAGGAAGAAAAATTTCTCAAGAATCTGTGCCTGCGTCTCCAGGTCCTCTTCCCCACCGGGGCCCGCCCTCCGCCCC